GGGCTCTGAGCAAGCGCGACGCTGCTGGGCCGCTCCCCCCCCCCCGGTCGTTTCCTTTCCCTAGACACATCCCCGGGGGCTCCGAAAGCAGTCGCAAGCGTATCCTGGCCTCCCGTCCGCCCAACCCTCCCCGACCTTCGGGTCTTACTCACTCCGGCCCGGTCCGGTGGTGGCGGAAATGGGAGAGAAGGCACAGCAGATGCAAGCGCGTCCGAGACACTAGCGTCACGTGGAAGCGGAAGTGACGCTAGGTACCTAGGTGAGTTGGTCCTTCCTCTTCCGGCCTCGCCTCTCTCTCCCTGCCAATCCTCTGAAGCTTGTTCTACGGAGCCCGCCTGTCGCCGTTTCCATGACCACCGCTTGGTGCCTGGCGGCCGCAGAGACCCACGGGAAACGTAGTCCACCCTCTGGGCCAGGTGTCTGTGTAAGCCCTGGGGGAGGGGCCCCTGCGGTCAGCCTCCTCTTCAAGCTGACCGCGGACCACGTGATGTTGTTTATAAGGGAGCGTACACAGGGGCTGCCCGTGCCCGAGAGCCAGCCCGAAGGGTCCCCAGCTCTGGCACTGCCAGGCCCGCGTGTAGTGGCTGCTCGTGCCTTAGCAGCCGCACCCTGGCTACCCCGGCCCTCGGCCTTCGCCACCCCGGAGCCACAGATGGAGGTGTGTCTGAAGGGCCAGCGCCGCTCTCTTCTGGCCCTGCTAGCCGCCACCGTCCGGGATCCCCGTCACCTCACCCTCGGTTATAGACAAAGGGACACGTTTTGCCACCCTCAGTGCAGGACGCCGCCTCCTCCCTCCCCATGGCCGGCTCTTGGAACTCCTTTGAGGCTCTGCTTAGGGGCCAGACCCTAACCACCGTGGGGCGGGGGACAGCACTTGAGTCGTGTCCAACGCCGATGGGGCGCCAGGCCCTTCTGCCCTTCACTGTCTGGAAGTTTGTCCACGTTCGTGTTCCTTGTGTCCGTAAAACAGCCTGAATTAATTTCTTTAACATCAAGTGATTTGATCTTATTGCTGTCCAAGGGACTCTCTCCAGCTGGTCTTCTCCAGCACCACAGTTGGAAGCCTTGATTCTTTGGTGCTCAGCTTTCCTTATGGTCCAGCTTCTACAGCCGTACACTGAGACCGTAAAAACCACCACTTTGTAGTTGAGCAGTAGGGGAACCAAGAAAGAGAAGATAATTGACTTGTCTGGGTCACACAGCTATTAAGTTGTGATAGGAAACTTTCTGAATATTAATGAGTTGGAAATCACATTGGGGGCAGCTAAGCAGTGCAGTGGATAGAGCACTGGGCTTAGAATCGGAAGACTCATCTTTGTGAGTTCAAATCTGGCCTCAGATGCTTCCTAGGTGTGTGACCCTGAACAAGTCACTTAACCCTCAATTCCTCAGTTGGCTTCAGTTCCTCCTCTGCAAAATGAGCTGGGGAAGGAAATGGCAAACCACTCCAGCATCTCTGCCAAGAGAACCCCAATGGGGTCACAAAGAGTTGGATGCTAGTGAAGAAATGATTGAACTGAACCGGAACTCACGCGAATAATTTCAGGAAGAGCTGGAAGTTCTCTCAGCAGTCATCTAGTCAATCAACAAGCATTTAATTTACTGCCATTTGCAAATACAAAAGTGAGTTGCTGTATTTAGCGGGTACCCTGACTTCTGGGATGGGAGAAGCCTGATGTAGGTATTGGTGGAGAAAATGCCAGTAAAAATACAGACATACCAGCTTTTGCCACTCCTGAAGGACTGCCCTAGATCCCAATGGGCTATATGAGAGCTGTGAAGGGCACTTCGCCTAGGAACTACTGATGATAAAGTGACGGTGGTGAGCAGGAGCAGCACGGGGTTAATCAAGGGTCTAACTGATGCTTTCTGAATAGTCACTGATCCTCATCATGGGTCACCTGTGTATATGGTAGAGGTCATAAACTATAGTTCAGAGGCCAAATCTGGCCACCTGTTTTTAAAGAGTTAGCTAAGAATGGTTTTCCTAAAGGCCCTAATTTGCTAACTCTGGGGCCCAAGTGGCTACTGAGGCTCATTCACTGTTCTAGAGCCTACTAGCCAGAAACTCCCTGTCCCTGGGAGCCCCTTGGGGGGGTGTGAAGTGTGATAACAGATCTTTGCCCCTTCAGGTGCCTCTGCTGAGGAACTGAGTCCTCCTGTTGGGGCCATGTAGGCTTTCCCTCATTTCATCTAAGAATTCAGCATTATCACCAAAGGTATCTCTTTTCTTCTGGACAAATTCATACTCACTGTAGTTATGAAACTACATACTACTACTAAGCATACCAACAACTCTCACATCTGGTTAGAAAGCAAGGCTATCATCCACCCTCACCCACCTCCATCTTCCCATCCGTCAGAAATAAATCCCTCTCTTGGCTGGCTCTTCACGTCCTCTCTGGGAAGTTGTCCAAACCATCTCTTGGGAGAAGACTGGCCAGTTGAGGAGGGAGCCTGCGCCACTTTGCTGGGGTAAGTGGAGCTCTATTAGGGAGCAGAGACCTGGAGGCTCAGGCAGCTGTGCACCGTAGATGGGTCACAAGGGGTTAACTGGAATTATGTCTCAAGGTCCATGATTATCAGGTAAATTCTCCTGAAAGCCATATCCAAAAAACAGCTGGAACTGAAAGCTTTCCCCCTTCCTGCCACATTGTTGAGCCATTGCAGAGATACTAGTTCTAGGAAAAGGGACACTCAGTCCTAGTATCTGGCCATGATGATGAAATGATTGTTTAAAGAATCCATTCCACCATCCAATGTCAGCCTCCTGAAGAGTATATGGGAAATGGAAATAAGTGTCAGCTGCGAGGTCCCGTGCAGTGGCAAAGAAATAGTAATGTATCATTAATATCATTTACATTCCTAAGACTGTACCCATTCCTGATTTTGACAGTACCAAAGAATTTGGTTGCTAGAACCAGTTGAATGTGCTTCACTTATAGTGGGACAGAGATCTGGATGAACTGGGCAAAACTATGATCTTTAGAAACTGGATCCTTGTTGGCCAGGGCCAATGATATCAGCAAAAGAGGCAGTCCCCAATAGGGACAGAACTGGAGACTTCAGCTTTGAGCAGAATTTCAGTCTATTAGTGAACGTTTCCAGCAACGCCCTCTGCTGTCAAGGCCGTGACGTTGCTCATTCTGCTGTGACCTGTGCTATCTGTACCCACTACCCTGGTCCATGATACCACCCACTCTTCGGTGGGCCTGATGTTGTTGACGATGCTCTTGTTCCTCCATGCCTTTATATCAACATACTCTGAGCTTCCCTTGACATCACACACACTGCAGGAATCATACTTTTTAGAAGATTGTACCATCATTTCTATTAAGTGCCTCCTCCAGTGTTACTTATGTTAGCCTTCTTTCTGAGGTCAGAATTGTTTAAAGATTATTTTAGTGGTGGAAGATAATCTAGAGAACTTTGGGGACCTTGCTACTGAGGGGTGGGATGTTGTAGGAACAGCATCTGTTTTGTGTAGGCTGGGCTGCTTTTCTTTTTGGGGAAGAGAAAGCTATTCTGGGGATTATCAGTGATTTGGAGTCCTTGGGTATCTGAGGTTTAAAAGGACTACCTTGCTAGGAGTTAGTGTAAAAGACTTAGTTTAACTCCCACTCTGCTCTGCAAGGAAATCTTATCAAATGTAGCATGGCCATTGTCATGGTTAAAGTAGACAGGAAAGGGGTAGTGTTTTCTGTTGAGTTGTATACTTGTTTTGACTGCATTATCTAGTCCATGGCCCTCTCATCGCATTCCATTCCCAAGCTACCTACACTAGGTCTGTCCCAGAATATGGAAGGAAACTTCAAAGAGGTAGCTTTAGTTCGATGGAAGAAAAAAGTCTAAAAAGTAGAACTGTTGAAAAATGGAATGGGCTAATACTTATAGTAGGTCTTCAAGAAAAGTTGGATGACCCCTTGCTGGGGATGTGATAGAGATTATGTGATGGTATCAGAGACCCCTTCCAACTCTTAAGGTTATGACTCATAGCCAGAACTATGTTCAGTCATTTCTGGCTTACACTGAAGCCAGTGTCATTCTGGCTTTCCATATGGGGTCTCAGTCTTGAATCCATACTGCACACAACAGCAAGAGGAATCTTTCACAGTCACCCTTACTGCCCTAATCAAGCTGAAGTTCTAATTTTGGCTTCTCCACCCCAGCTTGGCCAATCTTATGACCATCCTTTGAAACTTTGTTATCCATAACACTCCTACCAACTCAGCCATTCCACAAACCTTTTGTTACTTGACTTCTTGGCCGAACCCCTCACATCACAATTTTTCCTTTTACCCCCTTTCCATCTCTCACTCAGGATAAGCTCTGCCCTGCTGCAAAAGTGGGCTTTGTTTTCATCTCCACCATGAAGCTGGGACCTTTAGAGGCCAAGGTCTGCATCTGGGCTTCCTCCATTTAATGCAGAGGTCTGGACAGGGTTTTGACCACAGGGAAAATCATCTGTTCAAATATGGGTTGTTCTCAATGGCATCAAAGGTGTTGAGTGTTTCATTCTGCCAGAACACACAACTGGAGTATAACATTGTATGCTTGATACTGTTCTCACAGAATTGAAATGAATAATTATCTCCATTTTGGACTTAAAGGCCAGGGATAGTCAGGATGTTAGCACTGGCTGAATTGTCTTAGGAGCCAGAGAATCAATCTGAGAATTAGCTGCTGGAGCTACATTTATGAATTCTGGGGCCCTCCCTCAATGTTGCTGGTATCATTTGAATGTTGTTCAGTTACTTATCAATTGTGTCTGACTTTTTGTGACTCCATTTGGAAAAAGACACTGGAGTGGTTTGCCATTTCCTGCTACAGCTTGTTTTAGTGATGAGGAAACTGAAGCAAACAGGGCTAAGTAACTTGCTTATGGTCACACAGCTAGTAAAGTGAAGCCAGATTTGAACACAGGCAGATGAGTCTTCCTGACTCCAGATCTGAGAATCTATTGTGATACCCAGCTGCCCCTACATTTGAATGTACTGGAATACTGTTATGCTTTAGGAAATGACAAAAGGGAAGGTTTCAGGGAAACCTGGGAAGACTTGCATGAACAGATTGAAGTGAGAAACATAATAATGTATATGCTTACAACCTTGTAATTCAAGAACTCTGATCAATGCAATGACCAACCACAATTTCAGAAAATCAATGAAACATGCTACCTACCTCCTAACAGACGGGTGATGGACTCAGGATTCAGAACAGATACACATTTATGGATGTGGCCACAATGTGGCTTTGCTTTGCCTTACTAAATATTTATTTCAAGGGTTTTATTTTCCCATTCCCCCACCCCCACCCCCTTTTTACAGTTGAGGGTTTGGGAGGGGAAAGAAAATAAGTGCTTGTTAACTGAGAGATAAAAAAGTTGGTAGTGCTATGTGAGACTTTGACCTACTTCTTCAGAGGCACCCACACTGGGGACATCTAATTCAGCACAATTTAGGCCCAAGTATTTGCAAAGTGGGAGACACCCAGTAAATGTTAATTATGGGACCAGATATCCTGTCAACCCTTAACCCACCTAAGAAGGAGACAAAGAAATACACAGTGTGAATCCTACAGGGCCTTTCCTTTGTGGCTATGAGAATTTATATGCTGTACACAGTAAAAAAAAAAAAGCATAAGGAAAGTCTGTGCTACAGGAAGATTTTCCCAAGAGCTCAGCTTCCAATAGTTCCTAATTAGGGATGGGCAACCTTGTCTTTTATTCTGTCCCACAGTCATTCCAGGAAATTAGTATCTGTGCCCTGAGCCTATAAAAGGATTGCCGACAAAGTGAGATCTAAGGGGGCAAAGGCCTCATAAGTCTGCCCCATAAGAGTGGTTGGGGAAGAAATCCCTCTAGGGCAGGCCTCCACAACCTCGAGGGCCAATTCTGACGCCAGTGTGCTTGCAGCCTGCCAAGCCAAAGGATTTTGGGTAGCCCTCAAAAAATGTAGAGAGAATATAAAACAGGCCTGCCCTACATTCAGGCCTGAGGGATGCGGGACCCAAGGCCATATGTTGTGCAGGCCTGCTCTAGGGCCAGCATTCTCAATAAAAGACCTAGAGAAGTAGGATCTCCTTACTTGGTGGTAAACCTCAATCGACAAAGCTGTTTTCAGACTGAAGATGATTACAATATATTTGGGAAAAATTCCTTTTAGCCTAAAGTCACTTTGAGGAATAAGACAGAAAGTAATTGGGAAGAGCTCACACTTACTGATGTGTCCATTAAGCTGAAACTGGATTAAGGAAAAACTTTCTAAGATAACTAATTATCTGTGCCAATCCCAACAAGTACTGGAGTTTGGGGAGAAAGAAGGCTGGAAATCTGAAGAGGAAGAAAAAGGTTTGGAATAGCTATGGGAAAGTGGATAAGAGTCTGCTTCAGATGTGGGGTTTCCCTTTAAATTCAGTTCTTTAATTTTAAATAAAGTAGTATATATCTGGCAATAATCCTAGGGGTGTATTTATGGCTTCTCAATATTTATTACTTGGCATTTCCTAAGTGCTGTGCTGTTGCTAAAAGTCATTTCATATTTACTACATAGACAAGTTTTCTTTATTTAGTATTAAATTATGTATTTGTTCTGGAGAACACCCTTTCCTCAATGATTACTCTCCTAAATGTTCTGTCCAGTATGAATTCTCTGATGATGAGTAAGCTGGGCCCTCAGGCGGAAGGCCATCTCACATTCATTACACTCATAGGGTTTCTCACCAGTATGAATTCTCTTATGCCGAGTAAGGTGTGTGCTCAAGCGGAAAGCCCTCCCACATTCATTACATTCGTAACGTTTCTCTCCAGTGTGAATTCTGTGATGCCGATTTCGTTCTGTCCTTTGACTAAACGCCTTCCCACATACATTACATTCATATGGTTTCTCCCCAGTATGAATTATGTGATGTTGAGTAAGCTGTGTTCTCAAGCGGAAGGCCTTCCCACATTCATTACACTCAAAGGGTTTCTCACCACTGTGAATTGACAGATGTTCAGTAAGATGTGTCTTCTGCCGGAAGGCCTTCCCACACTCACTACATTCAAAGCGTTTTTCACCAGTATGAACTGTCTGATGTTCATTAAGACGTGTCTTTAAGCGAAAGGCTTTCCCACATTCATTACATTCATAAGGTTTCTTTCCAGTATGAATTCTATGATGTCGAGTAAGCTGTGTACTCAGACGGAAAGCTTTCCCACATTCATTACATTCATAAGGTTTCTCACCAGTATGAATTCTATGATGTCGAATAAGATCTGCTCTCTGACTAAAGGCACTCTCACATTCATTACATTCATATTGTTTTTTTCCAGTATGAACTGCCTGATGTTGAGCAAGTCCTGTGCTCTGGCGAAAGGCCTTCCCACATTCATTACACTCATAAGGTTTTTCACCAGTATGAATCCTATAATGTTGAGTAAGAACTGCCCTTTGAACAAAGGTTTTTCCACATTCATTACACTTGAAACGTTTTTCTCCAGTATGAATTTTCTGATGTTGAGTAAGGTATGCATTCTTACGGAAGGTCTTCCCACATTCATTACATTCATAAGGCTTTTCTCCACTATGGACTGTCTGATGTTGAATAAGCTGTGAATTCAGGCAGAAAGCCTTTCCACATTCATTACACCCATAGGATTTTTTTCCAGTATGAATTTTATGATGTTGAGTGAGTTCTATTCTCAGGCGGAAGGACTTTCCACATTCATTACATTCATAAGGCTTCTCTCCAGTATGAATAGTCTGATGCTGAGTTAACTGTGAGTTCTGACGGAAAGCCTTCCCACATTCATTGCATTCATAAGGTTTTTCTCCAGAATGAATTCTATAATGTTGAATAAGTTGTGATCTCAGGCGGAAGGCTTTTTTACACTCATTACACTCATAATGTTTCTCTCCAGTATGGATTGTCTGGTGTTGAGTAAGTCCTGTGCTCTGGCGGAAAGCTCTCCCACACTGATTACATTCATAAGGCTTCTCCCCACTATGGATTGTCTGATGGCGAATAAGCTGTGAACTGAGTCGGAAGACCTTTCCACATTCATTACATTTATAAGGTTTCTTTCCAGTATGAATATTATGATGCTGGGTAAGTTCTATTCTCAGGCGGAAGGTCTTCCCACATTCATTACATTCATAGGGTTTCTCTCCAGTATGAATTGTCTGATGTTGAATAAGCTGTGAGTTCTGGCGGAAGGCCTTCCCACACTCATTGCATTCATAAGGTTTCTCACCAGTATGAATTCTATAATGTTGAATAAGTTGTGTTCTCAGGCGGAAGGCCTTCTCACACTCATCACACTTATAACATTTCTCTCCAGTATGGATTGTCTGGTGTTGAGTAAGTCCTGTGCTCTGGCGGAAAGCTCTCCCACACTGATTACATTCATAAGGCTTCTCCCCACTGTGCATTGTCTGATGCTGGATAAGTTGTGAACTGAGTCGGAAGACCTTTCCACATTCATTACATTTATAAGGTTTCTTTCCAGTATGGATTTTATTATGCTGAGTAAGTTCTATTCTCAGGCGGAAGGTCTTCCCACATTCATCACATTCATAAGGTTTTTCTCCAGTATGAATTGTCCGATGTTGAATAAGCTGTGAGTTCTGGCGGAATGTCTTCCCACATTCATTGCATTCATAAGGTTTTTCTCCAGTGTGAATTCTATAATGCTGAATAAGTTGTGATCTCAGGCGAAAGGCTTTTTTACACTCATTACATTCATAATATTTCTCTCCTGTATGAATTGTCTGGTGTTGAGTAAGTCCAGTGCTCTGTCGGAAAGTCTTCCCACATACATCACATTGATAAGGTTTCTCTCCAGTATGTATTCTATGATGTTGAATAAGACTGACCCTTTGGCTGAAGGCTTTATTGCATTCATTACAATGATACCATTTTTCTCCATTTTGTAGCCTGAGGTTTTCAGTAAAGTACAAATTAAAGCATCTCCCAAATTCATTATACTTGGAAAATACCTTCTCTGAATATGTTTTCTTACATTTTCTTAATTTTTTAGATTGTTTCATGCCCTTTTTTTCGGCCTGATGTTTACAAAGATTTGTTTTTAGAGGTATTTGTTGTGCCCAAAAAATGTGCCCTCGAGTGAAGGTTCTATAACATTTATTATATTTGTGGCTTCTAGATTTATTTGTAGGTTTCTTTTTGGTAATTTTTTCTTTTTGAGAAAGTTTTCCTTCATTGCTCTGATGCCTCTCTAATGTGGCATCACAATCCCAGGATTTTTTTAATCTAGAAAAACAGTGATTCTTTTTTGTGCCTCTTTCCTGCAATAAATCTTTTACTGAAATGCCCAGCTTCAGAAGTGACTTCTCGGTTTCTGGAGTAGCCTCCCAATCTGAAATGAGATAAAAAACAATGTAAATGTCTTCTTTGTTATTCTTGGTATACACATACGTAGTATTCTCTGCATTTTGTATTCTCTGTATCCCCCATCAGGAAAAATTATTTTCTAAGTCTCTTTTCCATTAAACTGCTTTTTATTTTTCTTAGCATTCCTTATCAAATAAGAAGCCTCAGAAGCAGTTTATGTTCTTCAATTTATCAAAGATTATGGTTCTGGGTTTTATTTAGTCCCTTCCACTTTTTTGCTTTTGAATCAGTAATAAATATTTTGATTACTACTTTACAATATAATTTTGAGATTTTGTAATCCAAGATCCCCTTTAGTCATTATTTACATTGACATTCTTAAAAACTTTCACCTCCATATGAATTGTTATTTTTCTACCTAAATATAAAAGTATTTGCTTGGTAATTTAAATCATCAGATCTGCAGATTAATTTAGAAGCACTGCCATTTGCATTATGCTGGCATGTCCCATCCATAAACATTTAATTGTTTTCTAATTATTTCTTTTTTTTTACTCCTAATTATAAATTTTATATATGTCTTGATGAGTTTACTTATTGATATAGGCTTTTTTAACTTAATTTACATATTCCAGATGTTACTATTTGCAGATAACAACATCAAGCCCCAGATACTGCAGAGCCTCTTAGAAGAGATATGTAATATTTCAAGAGAGTTTGGCCTATACATCCATACAGGAAAGACCAAATAGATGAAGAATTCTGTTGACCAGACTTCAACATCTACTGTGTTCCACTGATACCTTTGTGATGTTGGGAGAACCTGTTAAGTAAACATTTGCAAGGACAGGAATAAAAGTTGAAATGGATGGACTGGGATGGATGGGTTGTGATCTATTAGAGGGAACTCCCAAAAGCAACCTGGCAGAAACTAGACCAACACCTCACACTGTGTACCATAACAATCTCCAAATGAATACATGACTTTAACTGAAAAAGTCACATCATAAGCAAATTAGAGGAACAAGAATGGAGTGACCTTGTTAAGCTATGGAGAAGAAAATACCACATAAGGGTGAGTGAGGATGACAGATGATAAAATAGATAATTTTGATTTAAATAAAACCGAAAAGCTTCCTTGTAAACAAAATACATGCAGATAAAGTCAGAAGGAAATAGTTAACTGAGAAAAAATCTCTGCAGTAAATTTCTTTGATAAAGATTTAAGATATAAAGAACAAATTCAAATATATAAAAGTAAGAGCCATTCTATAATAGACAATCATCAAAAGACATGAACAGGCAATTGCCCCAAAAGACCAAACTATCAAGAACCCTATCAAAAAATGCTCCATATCTTAAATAATTGGAAAAATATAAATTTAAAGACCTCTGAAGCTACATCTCACACTCATCAAGTAGGAAGGCTGACAATTGTCAGTTGTTGGAGAGGCTGGAGGAGAACAGGTACATTGATGCATCGAGAAGCACAGCTGTGAAACCATCTGCCATTCTGAAACTCTATTTGGCCCTACAGCCAGAAAGTCATTAAAATACACACAATCCTCTAACCCAGTAATTGCACTATTTGGTTTATATCACAAAGAAGTCAAAGAAAGAGAAAGGACCCATATGTACAAAAAAAT